TCACAGCCAACTTTTTCTTTTCAGCATGACTGGGTGTGAGGGGGACTGGGGACTGCTATTTGCTTGCCTTGCAGTAAGGTACAGGCAGGTCTGAGTGTGCAAATGATTTTAAGATCTGGCATGGTGAAAAAAACTAAAACAAATACATTAACATTTTAAAGTAATGCTGCCACATTCTGCTGTAGAGAAACACAACAGTAAAGTAGCTAATCAATCTTTCTGGTCTTAGCCAACATTTTATCCGATGTGTTTTAAATTATCATCATCACCAACACCCCCCGTTCCGGGGACCTACACAAAACAGAGTTTAACAACAGCAAACATTTCTAACTAACACTAGAAAGTATTAAATGTCAGCACTTATATATTGCATTATTAACTTCATTTTCAAAAAGCTTGACATTGTAGTAACTTGAGATGCACAGAAAGCCTTTGACCACACTGAATGGTCTTGGGTGAATCTGTCTCTAAGCACAGAAGTTTAAAACACTGCATTATACTAGCAGGAATCAGGAATTTAGGCCAGGTTGGTTCTTTATGCTAGCCCAAATTTTGCCTGATAAGATGGGACCTCCCCCTGCACCTCTTCTGTTTGTTCTCATGAGATAGCACACTGCTTACTTTTGCCAGGGAGGGAGGAAATCTATTTCTCTCAAGGTAGGGCAAGGGAACGTGAATAGGACTGTGCTTTCGGTAGACAATACTATTCTTTTGATTTCAAACCTCCCTTCAAAGTTCTATATCCCCTCCTTGTTCTAACGCCCTTAAACATAATGCTCAGATCTTCTGAATCATTTGAGAACATTATGAAACACTTCCTCCACATCCTCTTAAATGTTATCCATTTTATTCAGTGCTCAGGAGTTTAAGCAATCTGTAGGTTATGCAGAGTACATCTTGCTTCCTTTCTGATATTTCATTCAACTTCTAGCCAATCGTCAGCATTAGCAGTGACCTTTACAAGAAGGCTGCCATAGCACTTTCTTGGATGGACATAATTAATCTTTTTAAAATGGATACCATCTCCAGCAGATGGATTTCTTTCAAACATGAGACATATCTTCATTCACCCAAAAGTGTTTTGTGGAACTACATAAAAGTTTTCACTGCAACTATAAATTGTGTCCCCTCCCTCACAAAAAGATGACAATAATATACAATAGCTTTGTTGAAATATGCAATATGACTAGCGGAATATGATTACCGCTCATATTCTCATCTACACCTAAATACATGAATATACACGCACATCCATTATCTGGACTCTTCCCCCGGAACAGATATTCTGCTAAACAAACAATCTCCTCTCCGCTCTGATTATAAAGGACATTGAACAAAACACTTAAATATGAATATTTTAGCTCTTATTGATAAAAGGGATTACTTATTATAATACCAACAGATTAAAGACAAAAATCGAATTCTTCAATTAATATATTCTGTACATTTGACAGCAGATTGTGCATAGTCAGTTTTGTTGATTCCCCTGCAGTCAAAAACTTCTCTTGTTTGCATGGGTCTCTCATAAGTATCAGGTGAGAGAAGAACATTAAAAATAAACAGCCACAAAATTCTACTGTAAATCCATAAACATGAGAAGACTGGGATGTAGAGACAGGTGTCGTACCTGAACTAATTTTAATTCTTTTTTTTAAAAGGACTAAATTTCAATTTGTTAGTACTTTATTAAACACAAGATTTAAAGCCAAAAATTTAAAAAACAAATTAAAAGAAAAACAACACCCTTATTCCCCATCCCAGAGCCTGAGGTCCACCTGGAATTCTGTGCAGATGGCTGAATCTGTAGCTTTTCTTGTGTGCACAATATTTTTGCACATGGACTTCTCCCTTTGCTTTTAAAAATGTGTCCCGGTTCAGGGTCAGATTGCTTCCCAGCGTAACACAGCTATGCAGGGGCAAGAGAATGGGTGAAAACATTATTCAGCCACATACTCCTAGACAGCCTCCCCAGACCTTGGTTCTGGGTGTAGGAGCACAGGAGGCTGCACAAGGACAAAATCCGTGTTCGGTAAAGAGGAAGAGATAATAAAGGAAGCCTCTTTCCTGGGGACGTATCCAGCTACATACCACACCTTACATTGCCACTGACCAAAGGCTCAATCTGGCCCTAAACAGGTCAGATTAACATGATAATGACCCCCTCTTGGCCTTAAAAAAATACAATCAAATCTACGACGTAATCCAAGAAAGTAATCAGTACTTTTGTTTTAAATTTTATGCTACAATTTAATTGAATCAAATTCGTTTTCCAGTCTGCAAAGCAACTGCGTATTAAAAATGTAATTTTTAAGTACCGATTGCATTATTAAAGATCTGCAAATGGCACTGAGAGCATTAGGTAGGTGCGCTTATATTTTTGTGCATTAATCCAATACGTAAATAAAAAGAATGAATATAATAAAACCAAACAAAAGTGATCCTGTCTTAAGCGGTGGCGCAATGTGAGATGGGGAGTGGGATGGGAGGGACAAAGTAAAGTGGTCTAAAACTTTACTGAATATGATTTGCTGCTGCTTTGCAAGAGTATTTGGAATCTAAGATGGAATTCAGAGGTAGTTTCCTCCAATATATTTAACTGGCATGGGAGTTGGAGAGGATACTAAAAATATATTCTTCACACCTCAACAACTTCAACTTTGTAAAGCCTCCAAACTGCGCTACACTTGGCAGAAAGGGCCTATTTTAAGAGAATTAATAAATACAGTAATAGGATAGGTTTACCATGGCTTTAAAAGGGTTTGTGGGGATGGGGCAGGAAGTTTAATAAAAGGACATTTTGCTACTTCAAACACTTTTTGGGTGCATTTTATTTGCAATAGATGCAATTCCAAGCTGTATTCAAACTGCCCCAAAAGTATGCATACCTTATTGTGTGTTATTGTTTATATGATGTTGTTACAGTCAACAAAGCCTGGAGATACAAAAGTAAGGCTCCTTCAGATTAATTTGGGTGACTTTGTTAATACCTATTTAAAATGTGTATTTTGAAGACTGTGTATGTTCTACTACTCCTTGTAAAACGTATACAATTCCTATGCATATAAAACAGACTTGTTTCCTTGTTTACTATTAAATTTTAAATGCCTTCAAAATTCCAACAGAATTTCACTTGTGAAATCAAAGTAATCAATAACGCGTTTATAAGCATAAAATAAACCAGGGGTCAGCAACCTTTCAGAAGAATAATTAGTCTTCATTTATTCACTCTAATTTAAGATTTCATGTGCCAGTAATACATTTTAACGTTTTTAAAAGGTCTCTTTCTATAAGTCTATAATATATAACGAAACTATTGTTGTATGTAAAGTGAATAAGGTTTTTAAAATGTTTAAGAAGCTTGATTTAAAATTAAATTAAAATGCAGAGTCCCCTGGACCGTTGGCCAGGACCCGGGTAGTGTGAGTGCCACTGAAAATCAGCTCGCGTGCCGAAGGTGGCACGCGTGCATAGGTTGCCTACCCCTGAAATAAACCAAAAACCAGTAAACTGTTTCCATACAATTTTAAAAAACTTATATTAAAAAAACACTTCCAGAAATGTGCGGTGTACCAAGTTCCTCCCTAAAACAAAACTTTTACTGCAGAAGTTATAACTCCTTTAAAGGACACATGAATAAAATAATTGTGAATTTAAACTATTTAAGAAAAGTTACAAAAGCATAATAAATTAAGTAGTTTCATGAAACATAGAAAAGATTTAAAATGTTCTTTTGCAGTTGACATTCCCCAGCAGCACAGGAAACTCAAATTCAACAGCACAGTTCTTCCTCAGGAGAACCAGAAAGTGAAAGCAATTAAAAATAGAAATGTAATTAAAAAAAAAGAGTTTAGTCAGATTGGACAAAGTGTCTAATATGCAAGTAGTAAATGCACAGCATTAAAAGTAGGAAGTAAACCAGATGTTTATTTGAGTTTTAAATCTAAGGCATTTAGAAAACAGGTAAGAACCTGTTTTTTAAAACTATGATATTTATCTTGTCAGTGTCCCTTTAAGATAAATGTAGAGGGTAACCTGCAGCTCAACTTTATAAGTGGAATGAATAAATTGCTGAGTCTCAGCATTAAATTTCAATCTGCAGCAGTTGATAAGAATAGTTTATTGTATTGCTTTACTTTACACATTTGGATAAATTAAATAAATACAAACCTTAACTGCATAAAAACCTGTTGTGAGGATTTTGGTACATGGTATAAATACATGCATGTGTGACGGTCTTGCTCCTGCAAGATGAATTTTGGAAAGAATATTTTATATATAATCTCAATGATTAGTCTCTTGTTCTCTTAAAGCTCAACACTTTTGCTACTGATCGATTAACTGAGCAGATCCAGAGGCTATTTGTCTGAAATCAGAGATGCAGTAAGAAATTCTACAGTGCAAAAATTTGCTCGAACCACTGAGGAAACCAGGGAGAAACTAATGGCATGTTTGCATAACAAACTGGGTGGCTTCTACTTGATCTCTAGTCCCTTTGGGGGAAAGTGAATCAAACAAAGAACAGTGAAACTGGAAGAATAACCCTTGAAAGAGAGTACTGTGGTTTTTGAAAATGGCACCTAACAGGGAAGAAGTGTATCTTGATTAGAGGATGCCTTTTATGAACTGAATGTTTGATAATCACATGCCAAATTAATTGTAATTAACACATGTGTTGTGGTCATTTATGAATGATACAACTGTATATTTCACCTTTGTTCTATGGGTAATGTTCTCTCAATGGCTGTTTTATCCTAACTTCAAATCCCATTACAACGCTATAGAATACTCGACGAGGGTTCTCCCCCCCCCAATAAATAAAAATAGTAGCAGTTTGAAAGAAAAAAAGATTCCATCTGCCATACATCCTTTGTTTTAAGGAACAGCTAGTTAGCTGTGCCCTTTACATTGTCAGATTAAAATACTGATGAGATTTCCAAAAACTGTCTTAACTACTTACTGCTCTTCCTAAATTTAGCAAAAGGCTCTTTGTATTCTCTTACCTTTATGGTTTTGGTCTGGAGTCTGAGTCCATTTAAAGTGTTAATGGCTTTCTCTGCATCCTTTGGATCAATATAGTTAACAAATCCATACCCTAAACTCTGCCCTGTTGAAACATAAGAAACAAAACAAAACAAAAAAGGACTCAGTATCTTTTCAGCACATGAATGACTTCCAAATGTGGAATCAAAATTCTCTTCTACTTGTTTGTTTTCACCACACTTCCACCTAGACTCTCTACATACAGCAGGGTGTCAGTTTTTCACCATTCAACTCTGTGGAAGCTAACAGAAAATTTTTAATTAGCCACTATAATGTACATACCTAAAAGAAAAAAAAAGACTAAAAAAATGCTTTTCTACAAGTTATCTGAAAAGCATGTAACGTGTTGATATCAATGGAATTAGATAAACACAATTAATAGCTTTGTGTTGAGTTTGTAACAAACTAGAGGATCAGCTGTACAAGCAACATGGTTCCCATTTCAAATGAAATAAAAATAAATGCTCCTCATGCCATTGTTTATAGAGTCTGTCTGGTTTTCATAATGTGAAAGTTCAGAAGCCTCATATTTTACCAGACCCCTCCAAAACACGTTGCTCAGTTGGTTGTAAAATCAACTTAAACTTTCTATATTGTCTTATTGACTTGTGAGTGGCAATGCAGAACTGAAAAGAAAGGACAGGCTATCCCATGCCAGGATAAGCTCTTACATTATGTTTTCTTTAGTATGTTGGTGATGCCGGCAAAGACAATACGGTACAACTGCTGCTGCATCCGGATGGCAGGAGCCCATTTTAGCAGCCAAATCATTTCAACAGCTTCTGTTTTACTGGTAATGTCTGTGTTTATGTTTGTAGTAGAAGGAGGAGACCTGGTTTAACAACTCAGTTTAGTAACATGGAGCTAGTGATGTACTATTATTAACGCTATACATATACACACAAAGCAAGGACAACTAGGTGTCTGCAATGGAGTAGGATAAGGATAACATAACCAAAAGCTACACCAAAAAATATTAGAACTTTCTCCCAATGATTTTATAATATGAATGTTAACAGAACACGAAAGACAATAGCAACACAGGCAGATTTTGCACTCGGGCTTTCAAATTCCTCTGTCTCATGTGCCATATTTAAATTATTTTGGATATTTGGAAAATGCAATCATTTGTTGTATTTTTTTTTTTAAACCTCAGACACTTACTGGGCATGCAGAAGTGAGTACAGATAACCAGGCTTAAAAAAAAAAAATTCTCAGGAGGCAGGCACTTTCTTGAATCTCACCCATTGTTACACACTTTTTAAATATCAGGGGGTAGCCGTGTTAGTCTGTATCTACAAAAACAACAAGGAGTCTGGTGGCACCTTAAAGACTAACAGATTTATTTGGGCATAAGCTTTCGTGAGTAAAAACCTCACTTCTTCGGATGCATCCGAAGAAGTGAGGTTTTTACTCACAAAAGCTTATACACTTTTTAAATGAATTTTGAAAATGCTAGGTCCAAATCCTACCTGCACATGGGGTCAATGTGCAGAGGAATCATCCTGATTCTGCTCAAGAGGGGTAAGAGGAATAAAGGTTGTGAAAAGCCCACACAGGGAGAGAGATAACAGGCTGTGAAAACTGTACTCCAGAGAGGCTCTAACTGCAATAATGCAGAAGTGACTACCAAGCTCCTTCTCACACTCCTGCATGGGGGAAGCAGAGGTCACAAAGCATCCTGTACACGAGGAGCTATGCCCTAGTCTGATGGAGGGATTCCATCTCTGCTACATAAAACCTTGTTACTTTGTCTTTGTGCAGAGAGAGAGAGAGAGAGAGAGAGAGAGAGAGAGAGAGAGAGAGAGTGTGTGTGTGTGTGTGTGTGTGTGTATTTGGCCTACTGAATTTGGGAAAAAACAACATCACCTAGAAATGTTGTGTTGCATAATCCATATATAATAGGAGTGTCTCACTCTTCTAAAAATCAGATCAAGGTGCTCAATTTTTAAGGTTTAAACGCATATTGCAGAACTCCTTTAAAAACCCACAGAAATGCTTTATTTCACTGCTACGACCACAGGCAGCGTTACAGACAGGAAATTGCTATTTCAAATTACATACATCAAGGGAGCACTTCCATTCACTAGGTCTAGAAGTACAACCATAAAACACACCCATTCTTCCTGAATGGCTAAATTCATCTCAACAAATACATTCCAACACCAGTTCGCTGGCATTAACAAAAAGTTAAACTGAGCAAAGAACCAGGAGCATAAATAGCGTAACAAATACTTCTGATGGCATCCCTCCCCACTCTTTTCTGTCTACCTAAGGCAGTGGTTCTCCAAAGTGGGTCATGGCCCCATTTTAATGGCTGAAGGGCTGAAGCCCAAGCTCTCCCTCTGCCCACCCCCAGGCCGCAGCTCCCTCTTCCCCCACCCAAGGTGGCGGAGCTCAGGCTGCGGCCACTCATGTAGTAACTTTGTTGTCAGAAGAGGGTTGTGGTGCAATGAAGTTTGAGAATCCCTAACCTAAGGTATTTATATGGACCCCATTGCAGCTGTAGGTGGGCCCCTCCCAATCTTGAATATGTTTACCCTCAATACCTCTGGCAAGTGGGGTATGCACTGTGGGGCAGGGACAGTCTTTGCGTTGTGTGTTTGTATAGTGCCTAGCACCATGGGGTCCTGTTCCAGCACTGGGGCTCGTAAGTGCTATCACAATACAAATAAATACAATAATAATAATAATAATAAATAACTCACTCTTATACAGCACTTTTCATTAGTACAGCTCAATAAAACAATTAGTATTTCACACATGGGGAACTGTCTGATGCAGAGAGAGAATAAGGCCCAGATTTTCAAAGGTATTAAGGTGTTGCTCTGCTCAGCACTGTGAGGCCTACGTGACTTAGATGGCTAAGTCCCATTCTGAAAAGAGACAAGCTGTTAGACCCAGATTCTCAAAGGGTATTTAGGCACCTAAGCCTAATTGAAGTCAATGGGATATAGGCTCCTAGATGCCTAAGTCACTTTTGAAAATGGGACTTAGCTGTCTAAGTCACTTAAGTGTTGCAACATACCTCATATAACATATCTAGATATCTATAAATACCTTTAAGAATCTGGCCCTGACTGACTTGCCCAGAGTCACACAGGGCATAAGAATGGCCAGACCGAATCAGACCAAAGGTCCATCTGGCTCAGAATCTTGTTTTCTGACAGTGGCTAAAGCCAGGTGCTTCAGAGGGAATAAAGAGAACAGATCATCATAAAGTGGACCATCTCATTGCCCATTCCCAGCTTTTGGCAAATAGAGGCTAGGGACATTTCAGAGAATGGTTTTGTATCCCTGCCCATCCTGGCTAATAGCCATTGATCCATTGATGGATCTATCCTCCATTAACTTACCTAATTCTTTTTTGAACCCTATTATTGTCTTGGCCTTCACAACATCCTCTGGCAAAGAGTTCCACAGGTTCACTGTGTGTGGTGTGAAAAAATACTTCCTTTTGTTTGTTTTAACTTCATTTGGTGACCCCTAGTTCTTGTATTATGAGAAAGAGCAAATAACTCTTCCTTATTTACTTTCTCCACACCAGTCATGATTTTATAGGTCTTGATCATAGCCCCCCTTAGTCATCTCTTTTCCAAGATGAAAAATCCCAGTCTTATTAATCTCTCCTCATACGGAAGCTGTTCCATACGCCTAATCATTTTTGTTGCCTTTTTCTGTACCTTTTCCAATTCCAAGATATCTTTTTAGAGTTGGGGCGACCAGCTCTGCATGCAGTATTCAAGATGTGGGCGTACCGTGGATTTATATAGAGGCAATATGATATTTTCTGCCTTATTTTCTATCCCTTTCCTAATGATTCCCAACCCGAAGAGTTCTGTGTGGCTCAAAAGCTCGTCTCTCTCACCAACAGAAGTTGGATCAATAAAAACATTCACTCACCCACCTTGTCTCTCTCATTTCTCAAAGACATTTGCATAAATACCTTTTTAAGGAAGAGAATATAGATAAAAGTAACCTAAAAGGAACTTTGGGGAGGGGACAGAGTGACATGAGACAGCTGATACAAGAGGAGAACAACACTGACCTGGAGACAAAGCTTCTCATGTCCCCCCATTCCTTTCTCTGGAGTTCCTTAGTTACATCATTAAGGTTACTTTGCACTGGCCATCTGCCATCCTCCACACAAGAAGATATCTACATGGATGTTTCCTCTAAAGTGGAAGGAGGCAATTCACATGAGCAAAGTTACTCCTTTGCATGTTTGCATAATCTGGTTCAAAGAACAAAATTCCTCAAAAGAAGTGATTGATAATGCATGTATAAAAGCTATTCATAAACTTCTATTCCTAAGCTACTGATTGTGTTTTTATCACATGTATGCTAATTCCTACATCAGCGATGTTATATTGTATAAAATTTCTTGTGGAAAGAAAAATCTAAATTGACCTATTCAACATTCTAAACACTTAATTTCAGGGAGTCCAAAAAAGGAAAAATACTGCTTTACTATGAAATGAACCATTAAAGCTCAACCCACAACAATCTTGATGCAGTTGGTTCAATTACTAAATTTTTGTTGCTGCATTCTGTCATATGATTTAGCAGTCTATACTTTATATCAATGATGCTGAAGGAAAAAAAATTCTACCTCAGTCAACAGACTGCCGGCCAACAGAGCCAAAAGGAAAAATCCACAGAAAAATAATTTTGTGAAAACCTATGTTTGGTTAGCATATGAGATGGCTAGCAGACACTGTAAATTTTTAGCGTACTAAAACATTCACAGCCAAGAAACAAAAAAAATGGAACAAATCATGCTAAATATAAATTCTTTTCAAACTATTCTCAATAGCAATAAATATCATGACAATAAAAACAGACTCTAGATTCATGTGCACTGCAAATGAATACTGGAGGAGGGGAAGAGGATTTGTTCTAAACCATGCCCAAGATATATGAGCTTTCATTTATTTGATCGTATCTTTTTATTGCATGTTCTGAAAAAGGAAACCATTTCTTAAGCCCTGATCTGGCAACATATAGCATGCAGTTGGGCATCTCAATGGGGTTCTGCATAAGCACAGCAGTCCATTCACACGT